AGACACTCTGTCAGAATTCCCGTTGAAAAATTTTATTATTCACAAAATTATTTTGACACTTTAAAGCCTGTATCATGCTGCCCATGTTTTTTTTCTTCTGTGACAGGAACTTGCTTGGTGAATTGCTTGAGATGTAATGGGGAGAAGAGAAGCTTATCATTTGCATAAGTATCTGGTTTCAGGATATTTTGTTAAACTCAGAATGTGAGATCATGTCTTATTATGTTAAACAGTTCACGTTTTTACCATGTTAGTTTGCCACAAACCTATTGGGGTTTTGAAATGCACTGTCATTTGAAAAAAAAATCCAGACCTCTAAGTGGTATGGCTGAAGAAAAAATCTTTTCTACAAAACAATAGGTAAAGAGGAAAGGAAATAACGCAGTGACTGGAACAGTATTGTTTCATTACCATTAAAGGACTAAAACCTGATTAGCGTAAGTAAAGGCCTAGATATGACCAAGTTTGGTGGATCAGTCTTGGTTCCTGAGGGAACCACAATTCATATCACAAACCGACTGATTTTTAAGTCTCTCAGAAATGTGGCCTTTCAGCTTCTAACCTGGATTTACAGATGCTGCTCTCTAGTCCTAAGCCTGTGCCCTCAGTCCAGGCTCAGCAGAGGCAAGGACAGGACTGGCTGAGGAATTCTCCGTCTGCTACTTCTCAGGGCACATGGTGTTGGTCTTCTTGTGCCCTTCTGCTGACCAGCAGATTGTCCAGAAGGATTTGAGGTGTGGGTGGATGTGTGAGCATCCTTTTTCTTTGTGCTACAATTGTTGGTATTTCCTTTTTAGAGTCTAGGCTTTGTTTCCCGTACTGTAAAGTTAATTATATGCAACAGGCTTTCCTGAAATTCAGGACACCTATAGTTATCTAACACAGAGGGAAGATTACCTCCCAACTTTTCATGCTAACAGTTCTCAGTTAGCCTTGAAGGTCTGCATTATACCCCTTACCTGGCTGGATTTGCTGCATGTTGTTTGTAATAGTCCATACATGCTCCAGCAGCAACCAGGAGCCCTGCCTGTGTGAATGTACTGCCCCCTCCCCATGGCCTATTGCAGCTTACAGTCAAAATGTAATATCTGAGACTGTATGGAAAGAGAAACAGACAGAAGTAAGAGGAAATAAAGAGACAGGACTGAGAAGCACAGCTTCTGTTAGAAGACTAACACACCAGCTTCCTTACTCTTCTCCAGTTTCCCATAACAGGTTATGGCAAGGGAGAGGTTTTAGGAGGAATTTGAACACAGACCCTGAAGTACCTTGGTAGATGTTTAAGGACTTACCTTTAAGGAAGGAGATTTCCAAAGCAGAGCACCATGGATCTCTCGTTAGTAGGCCAGTCACTTGGGAGTGAACACAGAATGTAGCAGACACCTTCACCCCAGAGTGAACACTGAAAGCTAGTCTATTTTCAGGAATAGGCAAAAAAGAACCAAAGGACCCCCCAAGTCTAAAAATAAAGCAGTTAAGTATACCCTGTGACGAGCTGCAGCTGTGGAGGCATGGGGAAATAGTGGAGGAAGGCTTGACTTCTGCTTCCAGTTTTTTCTTAAAGCATTGCAAAAAGGAAAACCAGCAAAAGGTAGCCATATTTCTGATAGTCTCTGGCTCTGACAGTATAGCAGTTTGCATGTAATGAGGCACACAAGAATAAATCATTATAAAGTTTTGCTGAAGACATGTGAGAAGCACTGTTCTCAAAAATGAGATACATAAGAAATATTTTTAAAGGGTACAGACAAGGAGTGTAACTCACATGTGGTATACGGCTTAAGAGACTTCCAGTTTTCACAGGGCTAATTAAGACACAGATTTTTTTTT